ATTCTAAATAGCTCTAAGTTTGTAACAGTATACATCTATTTATAATTAAATTTTACCGTTAAATTGCCCTTTGATCTGTGTCTAACTACTGTCTAGGCCATTAGAAGTTGCATGCATAACTCGTGAACCATTTTAATTATATTATTATTATTACTTATTTTACCTATTCTAGTATTAAATAATGTAAAAAAGATCTGTATTTTTAGATTTTAGTTACTTTTATAATTATACATAAAGAATAAACATGAAAAACAAGAAATAAAATATTTAATCAATTTTCTTTTCTCTTGCAGTCCGGTTTTGAAGAGAGTTAACACTATTTTTTTTATGATAAATAGTATTGCACTTAATAATTTTTATTTGATTAAATATTGCATCAAAGAATATAGACTAATAACATGCAAAAAAGTAGACATTCACTTACCTCTCAAAATTTTCCTGGCTTTCTAACTTTGCAACAAAAGCCATTACAAATTCATTCAAGCTAGTCATTAACTTTCCCATGGGAACAATATTCTACTCTGAATCAAATTGAAATTTAAACTGTTCAGAACATAACATTATACAATACGCCATTTGATAGATGAAAATCTTGACTTTCTATTGGTTACAAGTAATATATAATGAAACATAAGAGAGAACTCTCAATGAATTCTGAAAGAGAGGGTGTAGCAGAAAGGGGTCTTATTTTCTATTCTATATCTCTGTGACCATAGAAAATTGAAGGCTATAAAGATTATAGTTTGTTTGAGCAATAACGATTTGATAGAGAGTATTTTACGTTTAATTTCATACTTTTTCGAGGGGTGGTGGTTAAAATAGGAATGATGACATGCTAAGAGAAAATGTGTCATGTGGGTCACACTGGTGGAAATTCGGGATTTTTTTTAATATTTGCCCTGTAGAATTAAGAACTTAAAACTTGTATGCTATTAAAATATGGATTATTAGCTAAGATTTTATGCTATTCTAATTGGTTTAACATAAAGAAAAAAGTAGTTTAATAAAATTTTGAATGTAAAACACTAAAACCTTGTGTCATGTGCAATAAAGGATACCCGGGGCGATAGGGTTAAAATATTTAAACGTGATATTTTCTCATTTTATAATATTTATGAAGTGTAATTTTCAAAGAAAAAAATTCCAAATTCTGTACAGCTTCCAGGACTCGTGTATAAATAATTCATTTATCAATTTTTCTTATTTTCCTTTTTTTGACTGTCCTAAAGTATACATTTATATTTCTTAAGAGACTATCGTTTCTTGATTTTTGTTCCTGTAAATGGTTTTATTACTACAGCCCTTCATTTCTGCCCTTTTTTGATGTTGTAGTGTATAATCTGAACCATTTCTAATTAAAAACGGCCTTGAAGATAGCTAAAGGAAGTGTTGAAATATGATTGGATAAAGCAAATTAAACAACTACGTTCATGTAGAGTAACTAAATTTGTTTGAGCAGTAATTTGTGAGTCCTCGAGATAGTGACTACATAGAGCTTCTATAGGATGAACAAGTTAACCTGTTTGCAGGTCAAAGTGCACATGTCATGACTTTTCAAAGAGTTACATTCAAAATTCAATCAAACTACTTTATTATTACGATATACGAATAAACTCGACATCAAACATAGATACTAAATCATATTTTAATATGTTTGAGTTTAAAAATCCTCTGACTCACCTTAGTATGAGAATTGTGATATTTACTGTCAAAGTCTCTCTTCTTTAATCTATTTACCACCCTTCTCAGATATATGGAATTTAATGTAAATTACTCATTATAATACAGTTATTTCTCAGGCAAAGCAAAATTTTTGGATCCATAAACTAGAAAATCATATCCTTCTTGCCATGACAAACTCCTAGTAGCTCTTTCTGACATTAAATAATGTATTGTTTATAATCAATATAAAGCCGTAATATATCAAAGTACATATTACATTGTTTTCTGAAAAGAGAATTGCTTATTTCACTTCAAGTTAAAATTTTATTCACACGGAAAATACATCGACGAGCTTAGCTGAAATTTTAATGGCTCTTACCCTATAGAAAGCCAGGAAAATTATGATAGTTATAGAACATTGTTTGATTTGTGTGTGTTATTATTCTGTGTTCTTAGGTGTTTTATTTAATCAAATACAAATTATTTAGTGTAGTAGTACCATTAGTACAGAATAGTAGATTTAAGTTTCATCAGCAGTCAACAGCAAAAAGAAGAAAGACCAGGTAAATACTATATTTCTTGTTTTTCATGTGTATTCTTTATTTATTATTATAAAAGTAACTGAAATGTAAATATTAGAAAGTTGTTAGGCTAGATAAGGTCAGATTAAGAAAAAAAATAATAAAAATTTCATGAGTTACACTTGCAAGTAGCTCGTGCATTACGTAATTCGATAGGATAACATGAGCTATATGTTTGCTGAATGATTTACAACCTATTTGGCAGGATTATTAGTTAGACATGGTTCCAAGGGCAATAAAACAATAACATTTAAGTAGAAACATTTGTATATTTGCTACAACCGTTAAGCTATTTAGAATAAACAAATTTAGTTTCCTGTTAGAATTTTAAGTCAATTTAGATTTATTTAGTATTTTTTCATGGAGATTATGAGGTCGGTCAGTTGGACTGACCCTGTATAGAGTCAGGGTAAAGAAAACAGATAAAATATAAAGTTTTACTGAAACAAGTATCTTTGAAATTTGTTTAGGAGGTTTTAGTGATTATGCAAATGAAATTTGAGATTTTTCAGATTGAAAATTATTTTTAATCTTAGCATGAAAATTTATTTAAACTCAGAGCATTCAACACTTTGACTCCAAATATTTAGAAGAATTATAATGTTTACTGAAAGCTTGCAAAATTTGGTGAAGATTCACAAAACATTAGAAGTTATAGTATGGAAACTAAAGGTGAGTTTGGGGTTGAAATCTTGGTTGAATTGACAAAGCCAGTACTGTTATATAGTTGTAAGGATGATTGTTCTTACTTGACCAAAGACCGATTGTGCATGAATGATAGTGAGATTGTTGAAGTTGAGTTCTGATGCCATGATTCTGTTCATGGCTTACTTATTGGATTTTTCATTTTCCACACAGAATTTATTACTAGGATGTTGGTAATGCTGATTTAGCTCTAATATCATGGATCTAAATCCTGTTTTTGTTTTCACATATAAAATTGGCAACAGCACTGTTAACCTTTTTTGTCTTTTAAATGTCATTAGTACAGAAGCTGCTTTTTAAATGGGCATTTTTATGCCAGAATGAGGAATTGAAGCAGTGTTGAATGTTATTCTGTATCTTTGTTTTAAAGTTAAAAAACTATCCCAAAAAACTGTTGGTGTTTGGAGACAGTTTGGAAGTCATCATAGAGTCAGTAGACTATATGTAGGAATGGCCAAGGAACTCAATAGGGATAATACAAATATGCATGCTAAAAATCAACAGTGACAGAGAGTTTTACTTTAAAAGATGATTGATACTCATTTTCGTTTGTTTCTCTACCCAACAAGGCAAGAAACCGCCACTAAGATACCAAACCAGAAAGTTACCAAACCACCAAGTTGTTCATCTTTCTTCTTTTTGTTTCAGTCGAAATAACTCTACAATTACTTTATCACTCATGTCAGTTTAAACCTAAATCCACTTTGTGTGTTTCTGGGCAATGCACAATATCATTGCTTAGATGTAATAACCAGTATTAATTTAAAAAAATACATAATTATAGTGAAAACAACTTTATCATATACCCCTTGAAGTTAGATTTTTTACAGAAATTTGGTGTTCCCTTAAAAACCTTAAGTACAGGGTG